GATTCAGCCGCTGTTGAAACTGATCAGTTTCAGCAGCGGCTGAATCTGGACGCCAGTTCCGACTTACATACAGATTCAACTTAAGAACAAACCTACAGTCCCTATCTTGTACGTAACCCAGGGACTGCCTGTATAACAAAACTGAAGGTAGTTGCTTAAAAAAAACCCAGAGGTGATAACTGTATCACCTTCGATACTACAAAGTCTAGAAGTGGGGGGGGTTTGAATCACAGTGGATCTTTTCAATAATCCCAAACCCCCCCCCCCCCCCCCAAGATAGGATAAAGTGATAATGTGTGCACTGGTGGGAGGCAGGGAGGGAGAAGAGCGCAGTGTGTTGAAAACAGCTTTATATTAGAAAGCTACTCAGGGAATTCTCTACTAGAAATAGTTGGAATCCTCATATGAAAATAATATACAAATAGTCTTCCTACCCTAACATGCAGGCCCATAAATTTAAAAAGACTTGGACACCACTTCTATACTTTGTCATTAATTTAATGCTTTTACATCTAATCTTATTTAGAAGTAAACACTCAGATGTTCAAAACTCAGCAAGGTTAGTAGGATATAAATAGCTATGCCATACCTCATCCTAGTGCATCTGATGTATTATTTGACTGTTATTTTCATATTGATTCATAAATTTCACAAGAATTATGCTTTCATTAAGATGTCTACCTTTTCATTAAATATGCATTGTTTTTCTCTCAAGTACTAAAAGAGTAAAAATGCTAAACCAAGCACTTAATGTGCATGCATGACCTGTGTACTCTATGGTTAGCACAGAAGTCCATAATTTTCATAGAATACTAGAACTGGTATTCTACAATTCTATGAAAATTATGCATTTCTATGCTAACCTCATAGCCATGTCTCTCCTCCTCCCTCGGTTCTCTCATAATTCAAAGCCCTTGACTGCTGAGGACTCCAACAGCAGCGGAGGAGAATTAGTCATGGGATCTACACTTACCACAACATCTTAAAGAGACACTGCTACTAAAGAAAGGCAAGTGATGGTGGCACTATGAGTGTCAACTGCATCATTTGACCAAAGGCGGGAGTACAGCTTTCCCAAACTTGGCATCAGCTCTAGTGAAATCCTGTGCATAATACTTGACATACATGAGTGAATTGCACTGTGTAACTATGTGGCAAATTTCAGATATCAGTACATTTCAGAAGTAGGCTACAGATGTCACCTAGGCTCTGCTGGAGTGACCCTTAACAACCGTTAGGCTAGCCACAATAGCTAGCAGGTAACAATTAGATACAATAATGACCTAAACGGCTAAAGAACTGCATGATGCATCTTACTGAAAATACAAAGGGAGGCATTCTGAAAGATTTGGGCTTGTCAATATAATATAGAAGAGCTCTGAATATGTCCAGAATGTGCAGCTTTTTCCTTCCCTAGTGAGGAGTTTTAGGAATAGAAGTAAATTAGTGGAATGGTTTGAATGGATCTCAGTAATGACTTAATGACTATGAGAATGGATCTTACATGATTCATCAATATCACCTTGCCTTTACAGAATGAGGCATACAGGTGCTCTAACGTGAGTGCCTGATGCTCACACATTCTTCTGGAGGATTAATGACCATCAAAAAGACTGTTTTGAGAGTAAGGCTACAGATGGAGCACAGAGAGGTTTGAAGGCATAGGCAGAGGCTCCACAACCTTTGAAAGGACAACAGTGAGATCCCATATGGAAGCAGGTTCTCTAACCACATGTAGATAAGCAAGCATTAGTCTCAAGTTTGGATACCATTAGATGAGAGAAGAGAGAGAGCAATTGTATCACAGACCAGGACCCTGCTGTGCTAGAGGCTGAACAAAAAGACGTTCCCTGGCTCCCAAGAGTTTACAATCCAAAAAACAGAGGATAGAAGCAGACAGGAAGTACAAGGAAACTGAGTCAGCAAGGTAGGCAGAGGTCTTGGCAGACCAGCAGCCTAAAAATTGCCAAGGCTGGTTTTGAGAGAGGACAATGAGTTAGTTGTGCAGATATTTATGACAAGCTCTCCCCTCCTGCCCCCTAAGCATAAGGGGAAGCATGGTAGAAGGACAAATGTTCTTGTTTTCTTGGGATGGGGCTCTGCATTTCTGGACATGTGGAAGGGTGGACCAGTGCCAGTAAGGCCAAGGTGACAGATAAGGATGCTGGCCCAATAAGAGTTCCCCTGTCCAGTGCCAGTCACATATCAGTGCCCAGTATAGAATGTTGCCAGAGTTCCCTCTAGGTTTCTTTCTGATCCAACAAGGGAAGATTCCCTAATTCATGCAGGGAAGAAAGAGTGGCTTGGAAATGGCAAAGAGAAGTACATCAGTGGCATTGGCATTCACAGAGGATGACATGCCAGATGTCCAATATCTGTCACAATGACGATGCAAGAGGGGATTGGAGTTCCTAGAAGGCATATCTCTGTACTGGAAAGGTGTTGTGGTTGGTATCAACTCCAGCACAAGACCAGGCATCTTCTACATAATCTGTATCTTGCTCTCAGCCTCGACATCAATGAGGATGAGACAACTTTTTGTGAGGAACATTTCTCCTCCTTGCAGGATGAACCTGCTGCATGTTCTGGCGGGGCTCGTGCATGTGGTACAAGTCTGTCACCCAGAGCTTTTGAGAAGTGGAGAAAGCTTATGTTGGATCTCTTCCTTCCCCCTTCGTCCCCCCTAGTCAGGGTCAAAACAGTATTAAGGCTATTGAGACAAAAGGACCAATGCCTGGATGGCCTTGGTCAGAGACTTTGGCACTGGTACTAATGGTCTGGGTGCCATTTTCAAAAGCTTCTTCTCTTCACTGAACTAAGATGCCTGGTTTCAGGGTGGCACTTTCAATGGATAGGCCCTTCCACTCTGACTTGGGAGTTCTCTTCCCCGAAGACAGACATGACTTTCATGGATTACTCAAGTAGATGTAATCTGATCTTGACATCTCTCAATTTTCGAGTGCAGGAGTATCTTCTTCCCAAACTTGCTGGGAGTATCATCTTCCTTGAAGCAGAAGAACTGTCTGCTGAGCCTATCAGTTAAGAGCATAGGGCCATCACAAGAAAGATAGGGTTTAAATCCTGGAGATTTAGAGTCAGTCATTATGGCACTTAACGCAGAATGTTTTCAACTACTGCATAGGGGACATATGGGATACAGATGCTTCATAAAAAAGGATAAAAATTCCAAGGTAATGAGAAGTGAAGAAGAGTTTATTCACAGAACAAAGGTTGAAGCTCAAATAGCATAGCAGGTTGAACATGTTCCAAGTTCCATTTTGCTGCAACAGACAGTAAAATGCAACTGAGGGGAGGGTTGCAGACATTCTGTCCTTTACACCTTGGTAAGGGAATATGAGACAACACAAGGGCATTTGAAGCACCGATAAACTACGAATCTTTTGAAAGCAGTTTATGTACATTCGGCATATTTACATCTACAGTGGGATCCACAATGCGATACTCAAAAGAAATCATGAATTAATTCTCAACAGTTAAATACTTAACTTATGAAAATAGAATTTGTTTTCTGTGAAAACATCTTGAATTTTTCTCCTTTGAATTTTATTTGGTGAAAAAGAAACTACAGTAAAACTCCAATTGTCTGGCATCCAGTGGTCCGGCACTCCCGATAGTCCAGCACCAACTGGAACCCGGAAGTGCTCAGGCCAGCTGTACAATTGGAGCTGCTGGGAGCCCCATAGGTGCTCGCGGCTGGAAAAGGGAAGGGGAGAAGAGGGGAAGGGGATTATACCCGTGATGGGTCTGCCACGACCTGCACTGCATCTGGGGAAGGGGATGGGGAGTGGGCGGGGAACGGCGCGGCGAGGGGTGAACCCTCCACTGTTTTGTAGGAAGGTGGGGGAAGCCCCGCGCTGCCGCCGAGAGTTTCCGGGAGGGGAGCGGGCTCCTCACCCCCCCCAGACTGCAGTAGTTATCGCCGAGCAGGGAGGTGAGGGGCAGTGCTGTGGGACCAACCTGGCAGCGCCCCAGCTGCTCTACTCTGCCGCTTCCCCATGTCCGCTGCTGCTGCTGCTGAAACTGACGAACAGCAGACTTGGGGAAGCAGCGGAGCAGAGCAGCTGAAGCGCTGCCGGGTTGGTCCAGCAGTGCTGCCCCTCACCCCCCTGCTTGGCGATAACTACTGCAGTCTGGGGGGGTGAGGAGCCCGCTCCCCTCCCAGAAACTCTCAGCGGTGGTGCGGGGCTTCCCCCGCCTTCCTACAAAACGGCGGAGGGGTCACCCCTTGCCGCGCCGTTCCCTGCCCACCCCCTGGACGCAGTGCGGGTCCCGGCAGACTCATCCCAGCCCCCCACCAGAGTACCTCCCGATACTCCAGCATATCCGATAATCCAGCACCACCTACGTCCCAAAGACGCTGGATTATCGGAAGTCTACTGTATTAACTAGAACTGTTCAGGAATTTTTTCCTAAGATGTAATTTCTTTTGTTAAAAAAGCCAATTTTTGCAGGACTGCACCAGTTTCACCTATACTTTTGGTGGGAAAGATGCCTCAGGTCAACACTAGAAATCACGCACCCACACACACACACACGCCTCAGAATAGTGCAGTGATTAGGGCCCTCATCTGGGAAGTTTAATGTATGGGCTCAGATTACTGCTCTGCCTGATTTTGAGCATGGGCTTAAACATGGGCTCCTCTACATTCCAAGAGAATGTTCTAGACCCCACACTACATATTACTTTGTAGAGGATGACTCACTTTGTTTGATCTGTTGAGTATTTACTTATTTATACCAAATGGAACAGATCAGAGATAGCATTTGCTTCTCTGAGTAATTAGGACATTCACCTGGAATGCGAGAGACCCCAGTTCAAGTTCCTGATTCAGAGTAAGGACTTGAACCTGAATATCCACTTCCTATGCATGCCCCTAATCACAGGAATACTAGTTATTCTGGAGTTGGAGCAGTCATTGATTTTTCACTCAAGATTTCAAAAGGCCTCTGATGTGCCTTATTGTGCAACAGGACATTTTTCAAAATCTCAATTTTTTTTTTGCGGGATGAAAAAGGGCTCTCACCAAGGTCTACTATTAACAAAGGCCTTAAGAAACAAAACACTGTGCACATAATATACGACATGGTGCTGCTATTTATTCTCATCATAAAAAATTAACAACTCTTCAGTTGCAACAATTGCCTAAAACCAGAAAGGATCTTGTGCTAGCTGACAAGATCTCTGATCTGACTACAGTACACATCACAAATAAGAATCATGATTTTGATGGGTTTACCAAAGTTCAAAAGTACATGTTTAAGAACTTTACTGTATCAGGAATAAGAAAGGATGTTTATTAAAGGTACTTGCCTGACTTTATCCCTGAACTTCACTATTGGCACTTTTGCTCGAATCAGCTGAGGCCTCTCAATGTAGCTTGCTGAAAGGGAGGAAAAATATATGCAGTGAAGTTTCATGCAAAAAGGCAAGATGCTGACCTTATGAAAACTGGATCCTAAAGTGGTAGTCAAGTTGATCACATTTAATAAATAGGAGCCGACTACGGAATCTGGCTAAAGTGATTTAAATGAACTTTTGTAATGAATCTACAAAAACAACTAGCTAAAATATAATCTAGGTGGTAAGAAAAAATTGAAGTTAATTTCATTTCTGAGAAAAAACAATGGAGTAAGGCTTTTCAATGGGACATGAGATACAACTAGATTAATCCTGAAGAGACCGATTTCAAATGCTACATTGAATAGTCCTTGTTCACATTAAAGTGACCACTGACTCAATAAAATCCCTTATATAATTGTTACTGTTTAAGAAGTACAAAACCAGATTTAAAACTTGGAAACAAGGCCCCATGGCCTGCTAACATAAGCAGAACAGATTAACACTGAGTTGTGGACATGACATGTAACCAGGCTGTGTAATTTTTCATTGAGATTTTAATTCAACATTTTGTTAGATTAATACATGGATTTTTGTCTGTACCCAAAAATTGCATCTTCATTACACATACACATGTATGTAAAAATCCCTGCAGAAACTGTTAATTTGGTTAATTGACTCTTCTCAGAAATGTTTCTGAGCATCCCATCAACACAGAAAACAAGTTATTGTTATTTTTGTAATTGGGACAACTCTTTCCATCTAAGGTGGGAGGGGAGAAATGGACCACACCAGCATTTTGCTTTCCAGGAGCCAGGAGCCTCTTCCCAGAGGCCTCTCTCACTCAGGAGTTATCGAGATAAAAAGCTGAGTCCAAAGGAGCTTAGTTTATGGTTCAGCATAATGGTCAACAGAACTTTTTATAGCCTTCACTATGTTAGCAAAATTTTGGACAAGTTTGGACTATGCATGCTTTCCATATCAAACATTTTTTATTTTCCTTTTTTACTGCTATAAATTAAGCCCTAAATAGAAAGTATGGGGAAAATAAAGATAAGAACGAAGGCTATGTCTAAACTACACTCCTCTTCCGAAAGAGGAATGTAAAGGAGGCTAATCAAAAATTCAAATGAAGCACAGATTTACAAATCTTTTGCTTCATTTGCATAATCGCATGTGAGCGCGTTTTTGAAAAAGAAACCTCAGTCTAGATGGGTTTCTCTCGAAAAAAAAACCCCTTTTTCGAAAGAACCCATACTCCTCATGTTTTCCAGGAGTATTGGTTCTTTCGAAAAAAGGTTTTTTTCTCGAGAGAACCCCGTCTAGACTGAGGCTTCTTTTTTGAAAAAGCACTCATACGCTATTATGCAAATGAAGCGAGATTTGTAAATCTGCACTTCATTTGAATTTTTGATCAGCCTTATTTACATTCTTCTTTCGGAAGAGGAATATAGTTTAGACATAACCAAAATTAATAATATTCCTACCTTTAAGAACACCTTAAATTAACTTACTCCTCACTATAGTTTTATTTTGTCTGTCTCTCTCAAGGTATTAAATATAGATTAAGCAGTTTCTCATCATATTTGCAATCATGTTCTCAACTAACGTAATGACGTACAGTATGGGTTACAGGCGCTATAAGGTAATATTAATTTATTAAAAATTATCTCGTCAGTGAAATTTAAAAAGTCATGTTCACCTGATTTTAGAATTTGCAAGGCCTTTCCAACTACTATACCAGTTGCCTTTCAGATAAGATCTTGTATGTTGTATTGTATCCCATTTGATTAGAATCTAGACAACATACACATATAAAGGTAGCTTTAATGAAATAGCCAGTTTGCCTCCAGAATTACAAAGCACTCTTACCAGTTGACTGGGACTTACAAAGTTTAGTACAGAAGAGTTTTTGGACTAAGCTGAGTATATGTCTTGCTTCAGTCTTCTGATTTACCTGAAATGCGAAATGTAAGAGACAGAACATAAACACATGACCCTTTCTCTTTTCCTACTCTTGTATAACATTTAAAGTTTAATGTGGAAAATCTGTCATTTTAGGAGATAAGCATGTAAAAACTTAATAGCATTCAGGAAGTTTATCAAACTATTTTTTTTAGCATCAGCTTAAATATTTCATTCAGTTTTACTTGTGCATCATAGTTACACTAGAAAACAACTATGATAGGAAGATAACCCATGTCTGACGTAAGGATGTTACATTTAGTTTAATCAACTAATTGACTAGTCAATAAGTGGAGGAGCTTCAGTGGTGTTCGCTTCCAGCCCTGCAAGCTAACCCGGCTACAGTTCTGCCTTTAAAATGTATTCTGAGCCAGCAGACTCTTAATAGATTAAAAAGGCTGAAGGGCTGCAGGGGAGTGGGACCCAGTGCGAGCCAGGCCAGCTGATTCCCAGCTCGCACTGTGTCCCGCCCCCCCCCAGCTGCAAGCTGATTCCCAGCTCGCACTGTGTCCCGCCCCCCCCAGCTGCACACCAGTCTTGAATGTAAAAAGGCTGGAGCACAGCAGCGGGAACTCAGCCCCCCCACGAACCGGGAGTCAGTCCCCGCTGCCATGCTTCTGATTTTTAAATGTATTAAGAGCTGGGAGACTCTTAATACATTTAGAAAGCAGAGGCGTAACATCTGGGACTGGGCACGAGCCAGGAATCAACTGATTCCCAGCTTGCGCCCAGTCCCTGCAACCCGTCTGCCCCCCACAGAGATGATGCTGGGAGAAACTGGCTTTTAAGCCAGCTCCTGCCAGCACCGACTCCTCCTCTCCTGCCCTTTCTGCCTCTGATAAAGGCAGCTGAGGGGGGAAGCGACTAGTCAAGGGAGTAGTCAACTAGTCGCTTACATCCCTAATGTGAAGAAACAGATGCGAATCTCCTTTCACTTTATTGGTGTTACTTATAACAAAACTCCAGAATACTCTACTTAAGTCTTAGTTTTACTATTTCTTTTATCTGAACTTAAACAGTTCCCCATATTTAGGTTCCTCTCACTATATAGAGTCAAGTACATTTTATTGATATATTGCATAAGGTTTCTTACTGCGGTAACTTTTTCAAAAGTTCATATTCTATGTTTTTTCTCACTAAGATTTTGTATCACCAGAAAGTTTATCTTTGCTTTTTAATAATCATGTAAATAGGTGAGTCACTGCTATATGTAACCTATACTTAAAGTTATTTCCATCTTTGAGAACTTTTTTCCCGTTTAAGTTATTCACTTATTGAAAAATCTAAAGATATGGAATATACAGCAATATTGGCTATTTCTGCCTTACTGTGGAAACCTAGAAAAAATGCTCACTTATTAGAACAATCAGTCTTGTGCCTTTAAAATAAAAGAGGAAGAGCACAGAACTAGGAAACAGGATACTTGGGTTGTATGCCAGCTGTGTCACCATCCCTCTGTGCTTCAGTTTTGACTATTTGTAAAATTAAGATAATAATTACTTTACAAATCTTAATATAACTTTGTGCAACAACCCTATCAATTTCTTACACACATGGATTCAAAAATAGACTTAATCCACTAAACAAAAACCACATTTTCAAGATAATACCTTAAAAGGGACAATGTGCTTTACTACAGAGTTCATTGTGTGAACAGTCTTCCCATTTTAACATGTTTTTAAAGTAACTTACCGGCTCCTCTTTAACCACCAGGCACAAGTCACCATCACTGCTACGAGTACCAAATCCATTCAGTGAAGATCCAACCAAGAAGAGTCTGCTCTCTGTAGCAACAGAACCATTGAACAAAGCTTGAGGATTTTTCTTATTGCCAACAAAATCATGTAATTGAAATTTGAATATTCAAATATGTACTAAAAGCCCAAAATAACATACGTGGAAAAATTCGCTGAATTTCCTTTTGGAGTTCTGTTCGGCAGAGCTCTTTTCTGTTCAAGTCGCAGGTTTGTTGCTGACATGCTTGAAACAACTCCAGTACCTGTTGACTTAACTTTAACACCACCCACCCCAAAAAAACTTTTAGAAATGGGTGATAAGTCATTCTTTCCTGTAAAAAACAGTTATATGAAAGACAGAATAGATCACAATGAAAATGCAATAAAATATAATATATATGTCTATTAGCTTCCAAAGTCAATCGCTGTTAGAGCCTTGTCCAGTTCAAATTCACCTCAGTCACTTATACAGGACTGATTTAGCCAATATGGGAAGAGAGACTGTCTAGCCACAGCAAGACAATTTCATCTTCAGTCAGACAAGATCTGAAACCCTCCCAACAAATAGTAGCCCTAAAGGCTACAAATATATTCTAGAGACTCAAGACTTGAAAATTTCTGTTTACTATTATCAGGGGGAAAATATTTTTAAAAACTGCTTTGAAGGCAGTTTGCATTAAAGGAAAATCAAGACCCTTGTTATCTGGCAGAAAAACTCTGGCTTTATTTGAAAACATGCCATTAGTTTCTCTTGATCTAACAAATAGCTATGCATTATAATCATAGTTTTCTTAAGGTAAATACTTTCACAATAGTATAACAAGATCTATCAATGCATTCTTGACCTTATTGAAACTGAAGGTTCTAACATGAAACTTTGTTGTTATTTGTTACATAATGGACTAAGACCTTTCCATTAAAAAAATACCATTTGCTTATTAGTCCTCTCTTTGCTGTTTCAGATGTGATGCAACAAATTAAGCACTCCTTCAATTTATACTTTGCCTGACCCAATTATGCAGATTTCATGACATCCATATGTGTAGATAAAACAGGGAGTTAGCAATGAGCTAGAAACATTTTCTGTCTCTTGCAAAAACATACCAGCAGGTATGTATGCTAAACCCAGCAACAGATGCTGCCATAGAACCCCAAGAAAATGTTTCCCAGCATATTGGGTGACAAGAGTCTCCCTGCCAGCTGGAGAACAGACTAAATTAGTGTTTTTTAAATGCACTATAAAGGCATCATGCAAGTGACAAACAGTAGTAATATAACTAGCTCACTCAAATTTAATAGATCAGCCATTTTAAAACAAAGGGGTGTCTTATCTTTAATACTTAAGAAAACCTACTAGCAATAAATGTTTTCATTATACTTTTTTCCACATAAGTGATACAAACTGAACATCTCACAAGACAATAAAACTCAGACATGTGTCTGTGTTACCTTATCTTTGGCCACAGGAAGCGTGGTTTCTATAGGGTCTGGAAATGGAGCATCTCGCAAAGGTGGAACACATCCACTCAAATCTGGTATGTAATGTGCATGAAACAGAGGTGAAGGAATTGATCCTGGGAATGAGTATCTGCGTTCTTCTGGTAAAGGCACTGTTTGGTTAACTACAGTTGACTCACAATGAGGTGAATGAAACCGCTGACGTTTGACATCGTAAGGAACATTTTGTTCACTTAGCCTCCTGCAAAAAAACAAATGACAGTGTCCCCTCCAGTTTCTAATTTTAACATGTACAAACATCCAATTACTTAAAGTACTTTAGGCTCAAATACTAACAGTTATTTACAGTGAATATTTCAGCAAAACCAAGGTTTGTTTGTTTAAAAGAGGCCTGCCCTTCCCAAATACTAACAAATTGAATGAAGAACATAAGGGATAACTGCTGAAATGTTGTCACTTCTGAAGTGCGACACACAATTTACATTATATAAGAGTAAATATCGTAGTCAAAAATAAATGGTGATTTCAGTTACGTAAAAATAGAAATAACCAAGCTGAAGACTGCTCACACTATTTTTGTAAAAAGTAACCTGTACTTTTTTTCTGAAATACTCACTTCTGGAAAGTGTATTTGTAAATTACATCAACACTTGTGCATTGAAAATTTGTGTCCAATGTATATACCCCGTGATTAATTTGACAAAAATCAAGGGTGGGAAGTGGAGAAAAGAGAAACTTACCACAATAGCCATTCAAAATGTAGAATTTGTCTGTGTAGGTTTAGATTGTACAGATAGTAAAATGTGTCATCTGGGCAAAAGAGAACCACTATTCATTTAGCAAGTATTTGTAGTTTGAGCCACATTAGTGGCCACATTAAGTTAATAGCTCGGTTTCAAACACAAACTTAATATAACTGAGCATGATCTCATTAGTTTTAGAAATCTTAATATACTTTATGATGTGATGTTATGGTCTTACATCAGTCTTGGCATTTCAAGCTCCCATTGTGAAAGCTATATTAGATGTCAGAGTATATTTCACTTTCAAACAGTTGCCATATAGAAGAGGATGCTCTAATGTTGTATACAAATAAAATGTGAGTATAAAAGAAAAGTATATTTATGATTTAGAAAAATGCACCACGAACAAACTTTTCTTTTTAAGAATCAACTTGTTTAAAATTAAATTTGAAATTTGAGAAACTGATTGAGAATTTAAAAATAAGTGCTTGATTTCCTTTTCCAACAATGAGTTAAAAAAAAAAAATCAGGTAGGAGAGGATGATATACAAATTCTAAAAGATAAAGGACAGGGGGACACATGTTCCCAGACATTTAGACACCTACAGATGCAGAAGGGTGCCAATGGGATGTTCAAAAGGTATCTATCTTCATCTTTAAACACCTGAATACCTTTGGGCAAATTTTCAATCTGTCAGTTTGTTAGCTACAGTTAATACCTCCTTTGTTTAATAATCAATTTTACATGCAACAGATTTTGATAAGCTTATTTTTCCTTATGCACCCTTATTTTTGCACATGGTCTTCAATTTCAATCTAAATCCAGCTTGACAAAACACTGAGCAAAACCCAGTTTCCATAGGGAGTCTCCATTTCAGAAAAACCTAGGACAACTGAGAGGAACTCAAAGTTAAGTTTAAAGGTTATTTATTTTAGAATAGCCACAACTTGCTTACAAGATTCCAAAAAACAAAGTGTACTTATTTGTGTGTGTGTCACACACAGGATATTTTTTGGTGTATGTAAGTTATAAAAACTAAATGTGATTAATACAGTACTTTAAACATGCTCTCAGATATAGAGGCAAATAAGGTGAAAACTTCCTGTTTTCTATGTCACAAAAACACTATCATCTCCATATAATGTACATTGAAAAAGCAATTTTACTCCACTTGAATTTATACTTGCTCACAGAGGGGAAAATAAGCCAGTGCAATACTCTGCTAAGGATGCTCAGCCTCAGGAGGAAGCAGGGCATACTCCCAGCCTGGCTCCCCCAGCACTTCTTGCAGGTTACTGTGCTAAGCAGCAGGCAGGTGAAAGGGGCTTGCTAGATGGTGCCCACTCCCACTGTCACCCATCTGGTATTGTCCCAGCCTTGAGACTCCCCTCCCTGTGCACCATGCATACTGGGACACTGCTGCTCTTCTTTCCCTTCTCCTGACCATCAGGAAACAAGAAAAAAGTGCTCCGCTTGTGTTGCTTCTTGCCCCGCCCCTGCACTCACTCCTACATACACTCCACACCCTGCCCTAAGTCCCTCACACCTGCCATGGCCCAACCCTCTGCCCTGAGCCTCTTCTCACCCGCAACCCTGATTCCTGCACCACTACCCCCAACATCCCAGCCCTGAGCCCCAATCTCCTGCCCTGACTCCTGAACCCCCCCCCCACATCCCCACTCCTTGCTCTGAAGGCCCCCCCCCACTCCACCCCACACTTACATTTCCTACAGGTACCATAAATCACACACCCCCATCCTCCTGCCCTGAGCACCTCCTTCTCCCCCTCCCTGGAAGAGGGCAACATGACAGTACCTGTAAGAAACAGGGATGTTAAATTTAGTTTAATCAATTAGCCAATGGAATTTCTATCAACTAGTCAATTAATTGATAAGCGGGGGAGCTGCAGTGGGGTTAGATCCTGTCCTCATCCCCCCCTGCTGTGCACTAGCCTTTTAAATGTATTAAGAGCCTACAATAATACATTTAAAACACAGAGCTGCAGCAGGTGGGGGTGGGGGAAGGGGACTCCGCATGAGCCAGGACAGCTGATTTTCGGCTCATGCCAGGTCTCTCCCGCTGCACACCAGCCTTTTAAATGTATTAAGAGCCAGCAGCAGAGGCACAACATCTGGGACAGAGTGTGAGCCGCGAATCAGCTGATTCCCAGCTTGCGCCCAGTTTCCACTTCCCCACTGCCTCCTGCCTAGACAGTGCTCAGGGGAACCGGCTTTTAAGCTGGCTCCCGCTCCACCCCCCTGCTGCCTCTGATAAAGGAAACAAGGGCAGAAGAAGCAACGGGTAGAGGGACTAGTTTACTATCTTATAAGCTTATGCTTAGCAGATAGTCGACTAGTCGCTTACTTCCCTGGTAAGAAGCTTAAATTACTGTACTTTCATCTGTTTCCTCATCATTTTTATCAATTACTGACACTGATCTACTTCAAGTAAAACACATGTATTTATTTGCTTATAAAGAATCAGGGCCCTGGATTGCAAGTCAGATGGCAGAGGTTTCATCAGTGAATTAAAAGGAAATAAAAAGAAATAAAATAAAAGAGTAATATATGCCAAGCACTCTTCCACTACAGCTAATAATGTCACAAGAAGGTATATGAATCCTTAAAAAGGCTACTATGCATGCACTTGGACTTACTTCATAAGAAATAAGTTATTCAATATTCCTGATTCTAGACCATTTTAATAAAGATTGCAAATTGATCTAACCATTAAGTCCCTCAAAAAGCCCCCTTTTTGTGAATTACAAACATAAATAATTACACACTAACAAATACTTACTTCCTGCCTCGGAATAAAGTGGGTGCAGCTGATGTAGGTACTGGGCTGCCATTTCCGTACGTCAATGGCTGTGCTGAAACAGCTGGAGTAGTTGAAAGGTTCCCACTCAAGAGAGCTCTAGAAAGACTGCAGACCATAATTATTATTCAGATAATAACTGAGGATTTGGGGTGGGGGGGTTTACACTTTTCAAGAACAAAAAAAAAATTAAGCAGGAAACCCCCATTTATAACCTATTTATTAGAAGTAGCATGTTTATTCTTTATATTTGAAAGGAGGAGGAGGAGGAGAATACCTTTCACAGGACAAAATTTATTTAAATAAGAACATGAAGTAGTCACTGTGCAAAGTATAAATACAAAAGGCACTTTGCCAACTAACCAATGTAACAGTGCTAAAATGATTTTCTCAAGAAAACACTCATGGTTTACAAACTTAACTCCAGCCAAATGTTCCTTTCCCTTACTCATCTCCTCCACTGACTCCCCACTCTTATCCTACACATATTCTCAGTTTAAGACCCTCAAAGACCCAATGTGGATTACTTGCCCCCACTTCTGTGATGCATCCTGTATTGTACTGGTGTGTATTCCATCCACCATTAAAGAGTAATGAAACATATAGGCCACCAGTTAAAAGTCCACGTTAAAATTTGTCAGTTTTGAAACAAAATGAAAACATGTTATATACCAAAAAGTACAAAACGTTGGGAACGCATATATTTCTGTTTCCTACTGACGAATGTAAGATAAAGTTTGTGCCTGATTTCACAGCAACATTCATTAATTCTCTGTGAGAATTAGGGATGTAATAGTGTAGTTGATTAACCGATAAGCAAAAGCGTATAGATTAATGCTATAGACTACACACATTTCCCTTCCCCTCCCCTTGCCAGTAAATTTTTTAGCAGGTTGGCCAGCAGCCCCACTCATTCCTAGCTCATGCTGGGTCCAGGACCTACCCCCCACTGCAGCTCTGCATTTAAAGTGTATTAAGAGCCGGGTGGGCAAGCAGCTCAGCTCAGTTCCGGCTTGCAACAGGTCTGGGAGCTCAGACCCACCCCCAGATAGGCACTGTTGCCACCCTGCACAGCTGCCTCTATCAGAGGCAGCATCACAGGGCGACAGGCAGCCAGTCTGCGAAGGAAGCTGGTTTTTAAACTGGCTCTCCTTGCAGACCAGCTCCCATCTGGCACCTCGCGCTGCTGCCTCTGATACAGAGGCAGCAGCGCAGAGTGGCAGGGGGCTCCTTGGGAGGCCCCCAGCCCCATCCCCGGGGACTACAGAATAGTTGACTAACCAATAAGAATTCATGAGGTTACATGACTCTTCAATTATTCGATATTTAACATATCTAGTGAGAATTATTTTAATTTGATTCCTCCCTCCAACTGAGATCAGTTTTAAAAAAGTAGAGGTCTTTCAGGAATCATTTCCCACTGTGAAATTCTACTGTACTTACGCTGCATTCTGAAAGTTGAACCGAGCATCAACTATTTGCTGCTGAGAGAGAAGAGTGGGTGGTATAGTCAGAGGAAGCTCGTGGAAAAAATTAGTCTGCTGCTGATGTTTTGGAAGGAAGGGTGGACGACCCAAGTTGGAGGAATTTGGGAACATGCTCTTCTTCACTGAAAGTGAACATGTATTCTTCCACCTAGATCAATATAATAAAAAAAAAAATCTTCAAATTAGGCAGCTAGCAAAATACTGAATACGTAACTTCTTTTCAAATCTTGCAGATTTAACAATTTTGCCTCAATATCTAAAAGGATCAAATTTCTAAAAATTGCCTTAGCTTTTCACAGCTTTAGCCTATGGGTATTTTATCGCCTCTGTGAAGACGCTGTGGAAAACAATCATTTTAGTTGCTAGTTAATTTCTTTTTTAAAAGAATGTGTTAAATCAAGTTACATCTCCAAACTATTTTTGTTAAAAATGTTTTACATAACTTCAGGTAGGCATTTCCATTGTCTTGCTGAAAATGGATTTCCATGTAAATAGTCTATTCGGAGTTAAAATTTTGAGACACTACTCCAAAAGAAACAAAATGATACTGGGTTAGTACATACAACCAAGAATGTACAACTGACCATAAAATAAACAAAACTATATAATGTTTAAGATGAATTAGAGGGCTGCACTCCCTGCTTGCTACGCTCACCAATCCCCCTCTCTGTGGCCGCTTTTGCGGCCAGCGTGGGGAGCCAGCTTTTAAGCCAGTTCTCTGGGCATACTGGCTCCGCGGACACACCTGTCCCTCCTTGCTGCCTCTGTGGGAGACAATGACGGAGGGGGGAGTCAGGCAGCTCCACAGAGCCAGCACATGCTGAGAGCTGGCTTTCAAGTGCCTGCCCCTAGAGGCAGCAGCCACAGAGGCGGCAGCAGCAGGAGGAAGGAAGGAGCCGGTGCTCAAGGGATTGGCTTAAAAGCCGGTTCCCCAAACACTGGCTCCTGCCTCCCCCCTCCATGTGTAACTGATAAAATTTCCAGTGGTTACACATTTACACAAATAAATGATAGTTAGCATCCCTACTATATAAGCCCTTGGCTAATTAAGGCATAGTTCCCTTTAGACTAGGAAAAACTACTACACACTAAATGAAGCACCTGTAGTCAATTAAAGCCCTATCAAGAACCTTAATGAAAGCCTGCTTCAGATAGACTGTGTGGAGTGAGGAAGGAGAGAGGAGTGTAGTTTGGAGGTAGGTTGCTGAAAGATCAGAGAATTGGAGGAAGTGAGCTTCTGCTCCAGCAGAGCAGGGAGACACTGCCTCTCCCCCAGCATCAAAGACTGAGGGTAAGCTTGACAAAGGGAGAGAGGGAGAGAAACTCAACTATTCTCAGCAGTTTTTATATCCCAAGGGTGAGCCCAAACCACTGAAGGATACAGTCAAGACAGCAAAACAAGCCACCGCTCTCCAGCAGGAGGCTGTGTACATGCAGCTGGCCAACAGGAGGCAGTGCAGCTGCAACAAGAGACCAATTGCCTGTTGATGGTCCAGGCTGCCCAAGACCTGTTGTAGGAACTGGTAAACAGGTGAAGGCCTTTATGGAGCTGAACTGCTGCCATGATGGGACCTGGACCATATGGGCCAGCAATTGCCTGCAAAAAATGGCATAGGAGAATAATGTGGAGGCAAACTTATAATGTGGAGGCCAGTCCTGTGCACGTTTTGGCTCAGAGATGAATGGTCTAGATGTGGAAGACTACCCCCAGCTGAGATCCTGGACAGATTAACTTTCACTGCCAGGAAGTCGCAGAAAACTAGATGGGAAAGGAGGGTAGCTAAAAGGCTACTAACAATGATTTTGGTAGTAAATTAGAAGGCTATCATGGTTGGTAGTCAATGGATCAGTCAAGACCTGGAGGTGATCTCCAGCACCAATGGAAACTATTAAGTGAAACTGGCCCTGAATATGAACATTTTGGCCAAGAATATGAGCCTCTATATGCAAACATGAGGGAGGAGGAGATGATGGCAATAAATGGCGTGTCCTTAGGGGAAAACCAAAGGCCGGGGCCATGCTATGTGATCAAGCATGATCTGTTATATCGAGTTGTGCAAATACCAGGGAAGGCAGTAGAGCAGCTTTTAGTGCCACAGAAACACACAGGGGTAGTGTTAGAGCTCTCACAGTCACTTATTTGGGCAACAGTTAGGAGATAAAATCCTAGATATAATGAAGGAGGTTTTACTAGCCAAAGTATAAGTGGAAGTCCAGCACTACTGCGCCTACTGTCCAGAATGTCAGTTGCACAGACCCCAACCACATCTAAAGGCCCCACTGGTACCCTTACCAGTACTTGAAGTCTCTTCTGAAAAGACAGCCATGCATCTAGTCAGCCCATTAGAAAGATCCACCCAGTCCCACCAACATATCCTTGCTTATGTCACGTGGTATCTCAAAGCTATTCACCTAAGAAGCCCAACGTCTAAGGCAGTAGCAAAAGAATTGGTCCAGGTTTTCGCTGAGGTGGGCATCCATAAGAAGATCCTGATGAACCAAGGGACCCCCTTCATATCAAAACCGATGAAAGACTTATGTACCCTGCTATATATCCGAGGCTTGTGCACCTCAGTTGACCATCCTCAAAGCAATGGCTTAGTTGAGTGGTTTAACTGCATCCTCAAAAATATGATTTGGAAAGTAGTAGCCCAGGATGGAAAAGACTGGAATACCCTTCCACTCCACCTGATGTTTGTAATGTGGGAGTTCCCCAGGACTCTTCTGGATTCTCCCTTTTTGAGCTTCCTATACAGGCACCTTTCCAATGCACACGAGATATAGCCAAGGAAGACTGGCCCAACCTGATGAGGAAGATCATCATCAAGCACGTGGCACAGATGAGAGAATGAATAACCCAAGTCTCCCGCATAGTATAAGAGCATTTGGAGAAAGTGCAAGAGGCCCAGCAGACTTATTACAACTGTTGGACACAGAGATTTCAGCCAGGAGACCAGGTACTGGTACTGACACCAGAAGAAAAATTCCTGGCCAGCTAGCAGGGGCCCTATGAGATAGGAAAAATCATTTGAGAAATGGACAATAAGGTGAAATAATCAGGCCACCAAAGGCCAGAATATATCTACCACATCAACCTACTGCAACCCTATCCTGACCAGGAAACATGCCTGGTCACCCATAGAACTCCTCCCTCCCCCAAGGCAGGTAGCCCACGGGGGTTGATGAAGATATTCCCTGAATTAATCCCGGAACAATGAACAGAGGCTATTGATATGATCCAGCAGAAACAAAACATGTTTTCTGTGCAGCCAGGCAATACAGTGATAGTCCAACACCAGATCACCACCTGTTCTGCAACACAGGTAACAATCAAGCCATAATGCATACCACAGACCAAAATTGAAGAAATTAGGATCAAAGTGAGGAAGATGCAGGAACTAAGCAGCATTAAAGAATCCCATAGCCAATGATCCAGCCCTATTGTCTGGGTCCTAAGCCTGATGGCACCCTAAAGTTTTGTAACATCTTTTGGAAGTTGAATGAAATATTGCAGTTCAATGCCTACCCAAAACCATGCATCAATGAATTAGTCAATCAATTGGGCAAAGTCCAATACTTAATCACTCTAGTTGTCACTAAAGGCTACTGGTAGAGCCCCCTGGTCAAGAAGAAGATTGGGTATACAGAAGGCAATGTCCTCTTTCAATACACTGTCCTCCTTTTCACACACTAGGAGGTTCCCCTGACATTCCAACAATTAACGGACAAATTACTTTGGTCTCATGCCAAGTTTGCTTCCACCTATTTAGATGACAATCATCCACAGCGCAGACTGGAATACAGATCTAGACAAAGTAAAAATTGTGTTAGATACTCTCAGACAAGCTGGCCTCACCACCAAACAATCAAGTGTGCAATGGGGCTGGCCAAGGCCAAATACCTTGGCTAAATGGTGGGAAGGGGCCTGGTGAAACCCCACTGGAGCAAGGTAGAGGCTATACAGAATTGGTTCTGAGCAAACCAAAAAAGCAAGTCAGCGCATTGTTTGAGACAATGGAGTACTACTTCTGATTTACCCCTCACTTTGCCTTGACGGCAATGGCCACTGACAGACCTATAAAAGCCCAGGGCCCAGAGAGAGTCAAATGGACCAATCATTCACCAGCAGAAGAATCATTCACCAACTTAAGGATGGTCTTTTACTGTCGTCTAGTACTCCTAACCCCCAGACTTCAAGAAGGAATTTATCCCGCAGACATTTCAGTAGTAGGAGTGGCACCTATCCTTTTGCAGATAGTAGGGGAAGAGGAAGAGCACACGATCCTATACCTCAACCAAAACTCCATGCCAGCGAGCAACAATACACTGTCATCAAGAAATTATGTCTAGTGGTAAAACGGACCATGGAAGCCTTCTGATACTACCTGCTGGGGAAGTGCTTTGTCCTCGTGGTGAACCATGTCCCATTCCAGTGGGTGCACAGGAACAAAAAAAGAATATGAGCATAACTAGATGGCTCCTTACCCTACAACCTTTCCACTTCCAAGTGCAGCACAGAACCGGAAGCTAACACGTCAATAACGACAGCCTGTCACAACAGTACTGCTTCTTCTCCCAAGCAGCTCACCCTGTTGTGTTGAGCTGGGGACAGAAAAGATGTGTTATGGCAGGGCCAGACAGCAGCAACAGAATGGGAGAGAGGAGATATAAGCCTTAGGCTAATTAAGGCATGGTTCTCTGTAGACTAGGAAAGATTGTGGACAGAGGAAGAAAAGAGGTTTGGAAATGTGCGGTAGCAAACTGAAAGAAGGAAAACCATGCCCCAATATCAAGGGTCTTCCCCAGAATCAAGAATCAAAGGTAACCCTACTCCCCAGGTCGGGGAGGGAAGAACTCCAAAGGAGTTGTGAGGATCTGGGTGGGAGCCCCAGGCCCTTTCTCTGCTCCTCTCTTTTTCTCACTATTGCACAAGCAAGTGCAGAATGCCCAAGAACAGGGGCAAGGAGTGGCACCCTGACCCACGTCACCAAGGGGAAGCGCAAGATGCATCACAGTAATGCCAGACATTTGTCATACATGCAAGAAGTAAGCAGCTAACATTACAAGATAAATTTTAAAACTGTGAATTATTTATTTCAGTTTCAACCATATAGCTGAGTTCAATGGAATTATTCACAGGCATAAAGTTACTCATATGCGTGTTTACAGGACAGTATTGTAAGAGAATAGTAATAAAAGGTAAGGAAGTGAGTACATTCTTTGCCAGACAACTGTGCTCCAGAATCGAAACTTTAATTTAGAAAATGGTACTGAAGAACCAAGTATAAATCAATACACCAATTATCTTCCTGAATACAACTTAAACCCATGCCTAAGATATGAACTGCTCAGTTTGTGATAGTCACCATTATGATTGAAAGTTAATATTTAAATTCATTTTCATTACTGATTATCCTGGCAAAAATAGTTAGGAAAGGGATTGTCTTGAGGGGGAAATTTACCAGCATTGCCATATGCCCACATGAGTAGTTAATACCAGTATAACTACAGCAGCATGATAATTTCCCCATACAGACAAGTCCTAAGATGCATAACTTCGACAAACCTAAAATGAGACCCACTTGGATTGCAGGAGCAAGTACAGACACTACTGAGAATCAGATAAGCTGAGGACTTCCTAGATAGCCAGATTCGGGTAACATCAGTACTCCAGGTTCAAGGAAGAAAGGAGTTGGCCACCAAGGAATGAAAGGGGAAGGCGGAGAGTAGGCCTGGCAGTTTGTAACCACCAGTTAAAAGATCATGGCAGCATTCTATACAGCTGGAGATAGACAAGGATGGGACAGCTGTGGATCAAGAGAAATTCTACACAGCTAGAAGTTTACAATTGATACCAACTCCTCAACATGGAAACCGTGAAAAAGACTGCCAGATCCAGCTGGTCCAAGGGAACGGAGAGATGTATATGACACACCTGCAAATGACAGCTCAGCCCAACCTACTAGAAAAATCAAGCTTGTCCACAAAGCATTCTCCCACTATCCAAGAAAATCAGACAATTCTCACTGGGCATTCAATACTCAGAAAAATTTAAAGAATTTAAAGAAAGTTGTGCAAGAGACAGGCAACTGACATAACAGTAGGCTGTCTTTCCACAGCCAAGACATGAGCCATCACTCTAAGATAGAATAGGCTTCTGAACTTGACTGATGAAAGTTCATATTGTACCCCTGAGGTAATTGTGCTAAAAGTTAAAATTCTGCAAATTATATTTGTCAATAAATAAATGTGGTGGCTCCAGCATGGCAGGAGAGCCCAGTCCATTGGCTGCATCGAAGTGGGAGATCACCCTGTCACCCACACCTCCTTCCTGGGGGACAGATTTTGTGGTGAGGCTGCTCCCAATCCTGACACAGCACAAGGGTCAGGCCAGCTCAGAAACACTAAGTTCCTCCACGCCAGGTGTACCAAGATAGCAAGCAAGAGTCTTGCATACGCACCTAGTCCTGGTCCCCGATTCAGCTATGGGGCAAATAGGCACAGCCCAGAAGAATCCAAGTGTGGAGAGGCTTAGTGTGGGGGAATCCAAGTCTGGGGTGAGAGGTTTCTGGGGGTAGGAAGCAATCTGGATGTGCACAACTTGTTTGGCATGCCAAAGGGATGAGACTCTGCACGGGAGGGAGTTAGTCTGGTGAAGGTGATGGGGGTTAAGCAGAGAAATCTGAGGTGGGAAATCTGGGTATAGAGTTCAGTGTGGAACACCAGCTACTGGTGATGATAAATATTGGTTTACTGACTAGTCGAGTAACCTAATGAATTCTTATTGGTTAGTCGACTATTCTATAGCCGAGGCCGGCAGCAGCACAGGGTGCTGGGCGGGAGCTAGTGCACAATGAAGCCAGTTTAAAAACCAGCTCCTCCTGCAGACCGCTGCTTGTGATAAAGAGGGAGCAATTGAGGGTGGCAGCAGCCCCTGCTTGTATGGGGTGGGTCTGAGCTCCCAGACCTGGCGCAAACCGGAATTGAGCCAGACTGCCAGCTCGCCTGGTTCCTAATGTACTTCAGATGCAGAGCCACAGTGGGGGTAGGTCCCAGACCCAGTGTGAGCCAGAACTGAGCCGGGCTGCTGGCCAGCCTACATAAAAATTTACTGGTTGGGGGGAGGGAGGAGAGGGGGAAATGCATGTAGTCTATAGCAGTGTTTCTCAACCCGTGGCACGAGTTTCTTAGGGGTACTCAAGAGAAGTCTGGGGAGTACGTCAACAATTGAAATTTGGAGAAAACTGAAATTTTGTTTTAAGTTTTACAGGTCTTTATTATTTTTGTACTTTTTACACCCAAACATTTCATCGCCGGCCCACCTACAATTAAGTTGTTTAAACAAATGTGTTGCAATGGTAGAAAAAAATTGTGTGTCTGAAAACTGTAGGTACTGGGGGTACTTATTTTTTTAAAGGGTACTGTATAAAAAAAGGTTGAGAAACACTTGTCTATAGCATTATCCTATAAGCTTTTGCTTATCAGTTAATCGACTACACTATTACATCCCTAGTGGAAATGGTGCTTGTGTTTCATCAGTGCACTGCAGAATTGTGGAAACATTTTGCAAAGTTTATGTCCAGCATGCCAAAAACCTAAAGCTTTGACAGTCACAGGATAAATGTTGGGTTTTTTCCATTAGGGGTGTGAAAGTGTAAACTGGTTAAAATGGTTAACTGATGAGCCTGGGCTCAATGGTTAACATTCACAGTTACACGCAGGCTCTGTATTGCTACTCTGTATCAGAGGCAGCAGCGGTGGGAGGGAAGGCAGATGGTTTCACAGGAGCTGACTTACAAATCAGCTCCATCTAAGCACTGTGTAACTGCTGAAAAATTCCAATAAATATACACATTTTAACCTTCTTACTCTGTACACCAATCAAAATACCCCAGCCACATGTTCTCTCTGTTTCCAACTCAACACACAACCCTTATCCTCAATGCTCTGTATAGCACTCACATCCCCATTTTCAGTACCCTGTTTCTCAATGTCCCCTTTAATACACACACCCTCCCAAGGACTCTTTATATTACACACTCAACTCTGAGTTTCTGTGCTCACCAACAACTAGGAATGTTAAGAAATGTGAAGTTTGTTAATTGATAAAGGTTAGCACTGCAAGCATTTAGTCCAGACTTGTGCTAGGTCCAGCTACTACCCCTGCTAAGGCTTTGCACTAAGCATGGCTCAGTCCTGGTTTCTGCCAGATCCCAGGAGCTACCTCTTACTGCGGCTCTGTGGGGAAAGTCATTTAGTAGCTGGCGGCAGGCAGCCCAGCTCAGTCCAGCTGGCGATAGGCCCCAGGAGCTACCCCCGCTGCTACTCTGGAATAATAATTCTCTTGCAGAATCACAGTGGTGGTAGCTCCCTGGACCCGGCACAAGCTGGGACTGAGCCAAGCTGCTGCATTAATACACACACACACACCACATGCTTCTAAACATGTGTGCTGTGGCCTAGTCTAGTGATTCCAGACCCAAGCGCTGCACACCACACATATCCTTCCAGCGCCCTGTCACCTGGTGCCCTCCAGCCCACAATTCTGTACTATGCCACAACCTCCCCCTCTGCACATACCCCTTAGGTACGCTATACTCTAGTGTCCCGAGTGAATCTCACAGAACAGTATCTTTGCCCAAACCATATATCCTAGCTCCGTATCTCTCACACATGTAAGCCCCGGACTCAGCATCCCCCACACTCTTCTAGTTCCCGAGCCCCGGACTCAGCACCCCCCACACC